AGAGTATCAACATCGTGGGACTGTAAATTCTGGGTGCCTTTGGGAAACATCCGCACAGCAGCCGGGAGTAGGTGAGAGGTTGGATAAGTGCGTTTCAGGCTGTGTTCCTTAAAGGTAGGACCCCACTGAAAGCGGATTAGAGCCACAAAGGACAGAAGGTGGAGCCCCTTCAGGAGAAGGGATCCCCCCTTGTCTTGCCTGCCATCCCCCTCACCCCCCATCCTCTTCCTGGCCATCCCCAAGTCCATCTCAGCCCCAGCTGACAGCAGGTGGTAGGCATGAGGACATTAGCAGTGAGACCTGTGGGGCCCTATAGGGCATGAGTTTCTGGTCACGTCGAGGAACTGAGGGTGTGTGGGGCAGTGGAGGGGCTGGAAGAAACAGGGTCCTGCCTTTCCACTGGCTGGTGCTGGCCAGGGGGCCCCAGGACACTACAACCGCAGGAACTCTGTGACCAGCAGCACCTAGAAGCATCTCAGACCTTCTAGAACCCTAGAACTTTGTGAGAGTACCTAGAGTTATTTAACACATCCCAAAATCCAGATACTTTTCATGTAACTACGTTTACAAAGGAGCATTTAAAAACCACTCAAAAAAACAAACAAACAAAAAAATCCTCAAAAAATACATACATACATGCATACTTACCACTTCAGACTTTGCAGAACTGGGTTGCTCCATACAGTTGCTCTGTCCGTGTTCGGCTACTGAGCCCCTGAGGCAGCTGACCCAAATGCAGATGTGTGGGAGTGTAGAAGACACAGACTTTGGGGTAAAGAAAAGAGTTCTTCATATTAACTACATGATAATACGTAATGACAATAATGTGGCATACGTATTGGGTTAAATCAAGTATACTAATTAAGGTGTAATACAAGTGAAGTTAAAGTACTTAATTAAAATTAATCTCACCTATTTCTCCTATTTTTTTTCCTACAAGATTTTAAATTCTACATATGGCTCCTATTCTATTTTTAGGGGACACGGTGATTCTAGAACTCTGAAGCTCCATAAATACAGGAACACTTGTAAATGGAATGGGAAGTTGAACACATATGATTGCCATCAGCTGTAGACTTTCCCAAGCTTCTTGCCTTTCGTTTATCAAGTAATTGTTTTGAAAATGCATGAGTCAGTTTGGTTGTCCTCAAAAAATTGAATTGCTACCTGAAAGGGACATCTTTTTTCCTCTCAGACTTTTTTTTTTTTTTTTTTAATTCTGCCATAGGATAAATTACTTAAGGAAACTCTTTTGGCTACATCAGAAAGAGAAATGACCAGGGCACCCGGATGGCTCCATTGGTTAAGCATCTGCCTTTGGCTCAGGTCATTACTCCAGGGTCCTGGGATAGAGCCCCGCGTCGGGCTTCCCTTCCTGGTCAGCGAGGAGTCTGCTTCTCTTTCTCCCTCTGCCTCTCTCCCTCTGCCTCTCCTCCTGCTCCTAGTTTCTCTCTCTCCAATAAATAAATGAAATCTTAAAAAAGAGAGGGAAATGACCCCACAAGCCTCATTGGGTCAGAATCAGCCCATGCTCTTTTATTCTTTCTCATATAAATTGACAACAAAAAAAAAAACAAAACCTATCTATTTGGGGCTGATTTGACACAACTGCTCCTATGTGCCCTATTGCCAGAAGCTGGCAAGGCTGTGAGCCGCATGGGGGGCTCGGTCACCCTGACGCCCTCGCCCCCCTACCCTTTGTCCCTCACACTGGATGCAGAAGTCGCTGCAAGCTGGGTTCTCTGCGGCTGCACTCGGTGTGAGAAAATGCTGCTGATCGTGTTTATTCAGGGTGTACGACCCTGTATCAGAATGTCTGCACTGTGTGTGTTTGCTCTTTGTTTTTCTTGGTCTTTGGCCAAAAGAGACTGTCAACACGAAACTGTCTGACGGCTGGGGTGTACGTGGGGGGACGCGGAAGGTGCCCGGGTGAGGAACATCTGTACGCGTTCACTTTCAACTATGCAGAAGTGGCTGCTTCTTGCCAGCTCTCGACTCCAGGGACACATTCTCGGGCTCTCCTGCTTAGCCCACAGAATGCTGACCTCCAAGCTCAGGGACGAAGGGCTTTGGACTGGTTTTTGCAGGGACAGAGGAATAGTTACAATCTGTAACTAACCTTCTGGGGGCAAGTAGAGAGCAGTGGGCGAGGAAGGAAAAGCAAATATCACTCAATCTCTCCCTCATGAGATTTTACACTGGCAAGCAAAATAGATACATTGACGTTGGCTTTGGCTTTTTCCAGAAAACATTCGCGAGAAGGTCGGGGCCCAGAGCACAGGTTCCCCTGCTTTGCATTACGGGAGGAGCTGGCTGCACGAGCCAAGTGGGTCAACAGCCTTGGGGGCAGCACCCCAGCCAAGGACCCTAGACAGACCCTCCCTCCCAGGCCAGCAGCTCCCATCACGTGTCCACTCCGTCCCCTTGGGCAGGCAGGGCCCCAAGGAGGCCAGCCCACATCGGAGGGTCTGGTCAGAGGGCTGCGGGAGGTGCAACGTGGGGAGAGGTTTGGAATGGGACTGAGTGACAGCATCTGGGGAATCTGAGGCAGGCAGAGGAAAGGGGGCACAGGAGAGCAGAAGCAGGGAGGAGGGACTAGAACTCTAGAACTTGGGTAGGGTCCCCAGACTTCAGCAGGAAGGCTTGGACTGTGAGGGATGGGGAGCAACTGAGGAGCCCCAAGCCCTTGGGGTTTGGCTACTGATGGCTTTTTAGGGGGCAGCTCAGGCTGACTGAGACTCACAGGGATTGTTAAGCACTGATAATGAAATAAAATAATGTACTGTGCAAATCATGCACCATATCCCAAAAATGTGAACTACTTTGCAAAAAAAGAGTTCTCATTCATGGTCAGAAAGGGCCCAAAGGGTTATTTTTAATTTGGCCATTTAAAACATCGCCTACTGGGGCACCTGGGTGGCTCAGTCTATTAAGCGTCCGACTCTTAATTTGGGGTCAGGTCATGATCTCAGGGTCGTGAGATCAAGCCTCATGTCAGGCTCCGCCCTCAGTGTGGAGTCTGCTTGAGATTCTCTCTCTCCTCTGCCCCTCCCCCTGCTCTCTGTCTCTCTCTAATAAATAAAATCTTTAAAAATATCTTAAAGATTGCCTATTGTCCAAGCTGTCCTGTACCAAAATGAGTATACTTCTAAGACAAAAGGGATAGCAGACTCCCTGTAGTTCATTCATTTCAGCAAATCCCAGGGGTTGGTGGTGGTTGTCTAAATTTCCACAGCCCTTGTCCATGGGCGTGTGCTGGTTCCAGACCATCAAGCTCCTCCCATGCATATGTCTTGATTTCTTCACGTAACATGCTGCCCTTAAGCCTTGAGCTGTGACTCCACACTGACTCCAGGTTCAAAATCGGCTGATTTAATGCCCTTTGAAATCAACACGCAGTGCTGCTAGATGCTTTGGAATTCCTCCCATAAATTCGATGAACACTGTTGTGTTTCTCTTTTGCTTGCTGTAGGATCATTTCCTTAAGGCAAATTACCAAAAGAGACTCGTGAACCAAGTTCCTACAAAGCTAAAGTGATGTTTTGTTTCTCGATGTGCATTTCCATTCCGTGCTGGTAGCAACAAGTGTGAGGGTTTCAGCTTCCCCGCATTTCATCAGCTTGCCATGACTTTCTAGTTTAACATGTATTAAATGATAGCATTAGTGGGATTCTTATTTTAAACTGGTATTTAACTCTCATTAAGATCACTCTGGTCTCATGAAGCGATGTGGTTTAGCACGCTTTGAAGTATTTGCAGGACTTTGAAGCAAAAGTACATGTAGAATTTTGTTTAGCTGAGCCTTAAGCATCCCAAATGAAGATCGAGTATTATAAAAGTACCGTTTTCAGTTGCAAATACAATTTTACATAGCGCTATCCATTTTTTTCTCCGTACATATTTTTGTTAACTATGTAAGTGAAATATACTTAAACCATAAGGGTCCATAAAAGAGAAAACCACAGCTTTAATAAAATGCATTCAATTCCAGTCCAAGCAACAGCAGTAGCAAAGGCCGTCTTTGCTCTTTTCGGTCCTTATTAATTGGCCCACATGCACACAAAACCAGACCCTTTTGTCTGGCTTGTCAGAGGACATTAGCTGAGACTAATCTGGATGCTGCTTCCTGGCTCCCAAAAGGACACAGCCACCAAGTAAGAAAGATTCATTTATCAGAACACAAACTTTGCTACGTAAGTGAGGATTGTGGAAAGCACATTTCATGCATCATTAGCTGGGCCTGATTAGCAATGATGGAAATTGGTCCTCAATTTTAACAATCAACGGAAAAGACCTTCAGCTTTCACTGAAGATAGACAATTACCCTCGACATGTCTCTGTTCTCTGCGCAGCCAAAACAGAGACAAGAGCCCTTGCAAAGGCTGCGTTGAAATTGTTCTGGCATTAGACGTCCTGTGGATGCTATTGTCCCAGTGACGCAAATAAGGCGAGTTCCGGCTCCCCTCAGCAGGCGGGTTGGCATCTTCCTAGATGTCCAGGTGGTGAGGCCACATGGTGCCTCTGGACGGTGGAGGTGGCCGGCTTTCCCCCAGGGTTTGAGCCCATGTGAACTTGGATGGATCCATTAGTGTCTGGGCACCTGGTTTCCTATCTGTAAGCAACGAGAATCCTACCTGCCTTATAAATTGCTTGTAAGATTTGTAATAAGACCACTCGTGCAGAAGTCCTGTGTCTGGAGCCTGGGGCGTGCAGGCTGCTCCTGGAACGGTGGGACAGCAGGCAGTCCTCCCTGGGGGTGCTTTGTCCAGTCTTGGGGGAAGGCGGTTATCACTGTCCCTATTATAACTGTTGCTACCACTCACACATGCATGTGCGCGCACGTGCACACCCCGACTGCGTCCAGCAGCCCCGAGAGCAGCAGGACCCCATGAGTGCAGAAGTGCATGAACTTGTGCCTTCCTTGGACAGTCCCAGAAAAGAGTAAAGAAATAAAGGGTGAGAAAAATGAACGCCCTTCCTTTCTCTCTGGTCTTCCCTAGACCCGAAGCGACTATAACCTCCAGTGGCGAAGAAGACCTGTTTCTCACTGGGCAGTTCCAGAAGACCCTCGAGGAGCTGGATGAGGAGCTGGAAGGTGAGCACGACCGTCCGTCCTGCTAGTGTTACACTGGGCGGCTGTAGGCTCAGGGGGTTATGCTTGCTGTGGCTCCAGGGGGGAAAGGCGGGTGGGAGGAACCCAGTTCCTGCAGAAGAAAGCCCGGGTGTAAGGGGCAGGCAGGTGAGCACAGCTCTCGAAATGGCTTCCCATCAGGGCTGCGGGACAGTACTGTGGACACTCTGAACCGCAGCTCCAGTGCTCCGGGTGGTACTGTTTGTGTGCATCGGGGGGGATTCTACACACGTAAGAAAACAAAGTTCTCCAGTGCCCGGATGAGTTTGGGAAACACTGGGTGACACAGGCAAACAGGTTCCCTGACGACAACTTGCACCACTTGGCTCGCTGACGTTTGGCACATCCCGGAGGGAAATTCAGTGCACACGGCCTCAGCGGTGAACCCGTTAATGGTGGAACACTTGCTGTGGTACAGATAGGTGTGAGGAAGGTGATGCTTTATGGCCAAAGCAGATGCCGACGATCTCAGTAGACAATCAAGGAATCTTTCAAATAAGAGGGCACGGTGACGGTAATCCAGAAATTTCGGTATGGGCCATGCCTTCAAACAGATACCAGAACTAAACGGAGTGCAGAGCTCATCCATAGTCTACTGGCTTGTCAGCCTTCTGTCCTCTGAAGATGTGCTGGACAGAGCTGAAAAAGCTAAAATGGTCATCCCGTGTCCCTCTGGCTCTGACCAGGGAACCCACTGTGTCCCTTGGGGCTAATTCTGAGGTAGTGCCCAGATTTAGTCATCTGCCTCTCGAGATGTGTGAGCACTTCTCCCCATGGGGTTTGTGGTGCTTCTGATGAACGCAAGTAAGCTGAAGGTCAAAACCCAAAACCCACCTTTGTGTTCCGTGTGAGACAGCCTTCCCAGGGGGCTCAGGTTTACAGATCTCGTTTTCAAGCCACGGATGTTGGCAAAATGTTGTACCTGAATGCCTTACCTTGAGACACGACGGCTGTGCAAAGAGCTCCTCTGTTGAGCCATCAGAGGGGAGATGGGGGCCCCAGGTGTATGTAAGTGACAAATTGAAATGGCACTTTAAAATGCACCTAAACAGCTTACCCAAAAATAACCTCAGGAAGGTCAAAGCCAGGGTGTGATTACAGTAAGTCATCAGCTTGGGATTCGTACCGGGGTGGCAGTCTATAAGACGTGTGTCTGTCCTCCTTTGCAGAACTGGAAGGGAGCTCAGAAGCCAGCAGCAGCCTGCCGACAGGCTCTGTGAATGGCCTGTCCCCTCCCTGTGTGCCAGAAGCCACTGTCCCCGAGTTCGATGAGGACACAATCCCAGTCACCTTCATCGGGGAGGTTTTCGATGACCCTGTAGATTTGGGGATGTTTTCCAATAGAAACAACAACGCTGGTTCTTTTGACCTGGGGGGCACAGTGGGCCTGGAAGCCCCCCCACCACCACGTCAGGGGGAGCACAGCCAGCAACAGGGAAGGAAGGCAGAAGGGCCCAGCTCACCCGCTCCTCCCCACGACATCGGGAAAGAAAGCAAACCCGCCCCATCCAACCCCTCTGAGGCTGTGAATCTGACTAAAATGGAGCCCAAGGTGACTTCTGCTGCAGCGTTTCCCATGCACAGCCCAGATGCAGAACAGAGCAGCGAGGGGCCTGGCTCTGCCCTCGGTGGGAAGACGCAGGCCAGCAAGAAGGCAAGTGCCCAGCCAGTGAGGGACAGGGAAGGCGAGGGTAAGAGCTGTGGCTCGGCACCACCATCGTGGTATCAACGGGGCCAAAACCCAGGGGGAAGTTACGGGCTTAGATACGGCCTCACGACGTATAAAATCGTTCCTCCGAAATCAGAGATGAGGTGTTACGACAGAGGGGTCTCGCTCTCAACGGGTGCCATCAAGATTGATGAGCTCGGGAATCTGGTGAGTCCCCATGTGAACGGGGGCAGGACCACAGCCCTGTCACCGTCCACCCTTGACTCGGAAACCCAACCCATTGGAAAGGTCAAAGAGTTCTGGAGGTCCAACTCCCTAGAGAAACACTCTGGCCAGCCCACGGAGGGCTCCGCCAAGAGGACCCCCACTGCCGCCACGCCAGCAAAGCCACAGCCTCAAGAAAGCCAACTCCCAGGCCCCAAAGTGACATCGCCCCCGCAGCAGTCTGCCCATCGAGAAGAGGGGAGACATCCAGAGGAGGGCGAAAGCCGGCCACCCGTGCAAGCCCCTGGTCATGGGAAAGTGCCAGCAGCGAACGCCACAGAAGTCCCATTTCTCAAGCCTCAGAGAAGAACGTCCAGTCAGTACGTGGCCTCTGCCATTGCCAAGAAGATGGGGCCCCAGAAAGCCCCTGCTGACATGGTGAGGAACCATGGGCATGCCAAGGAGACCTGGGAAGGCAGAGCACCAGAGCTGGACAGACCGCCTCCCGCGAGGAGAGATGGCACGGCCCCCAGGCCATACCCAGACACATGCTCCCCTACCGAAAGTGAAGCCTCGGCAGTAGGAGCCCTGCCCAGAGCACAGGACAGCGGCCCTCCGGGAAAGCTGTGCACTCCAGACTATCCTGCTGGTGTCCACAGAGGTCCCCACGTCCCGCCCGTCAGGAATCACGTTTCTGTGACACAGAGCTGGAGCCTCAGGGGAAAGCTAAGCACCAGGAACCCTGGGACCAGCTCAGCTTCTGCCCCCAAGTACACACTGGACGGTCCAGAGCCCCCGCCTCCCCGCCCAGGAGACAATCAGACCCTGAGCAGGACCCTGGTGAATGGCTCCCGGTGGGTCCCCATCCACGCCGAGCCTCCTTGCTCTCCGAGAGGGTCTGGCATGAATAACCACGCCCAACAGGAGCCCCCAGAGCACGAGGAAAAGCCCAGTTTGTTGTGCACAGATGTGCCTGAGACGGACAGTACGTTGCCATCCAGCATCTTTGGGCCAAAGAAGAAATTCCGACCCGTGGTCCAGAGGCCAGCCCCAAAAGACACGTCGCTGCACAGCGCTCTCATGGAAGCCATCCACTCGGCGGGAGGGAAGGACAGGCTTCGCAAGGTGAGCGGCCAGACACCTGCCGTCAGCGCACAGACACACCTTCCACATCCGTCCGTGGTAGGGGCTCCCCACGCAGATCCTCGGGGCCTTGGGGGAGGGGTGGGCTAGAGGAACAAGGAACCAGATGCTCGGGTTTAATTTCCACCGAGGGCTTCGTCTCTCGGCCTTAGAGGGTTGAGAACCACAGAAGAGAGAAAAACCAACGGGCTTGGGGTTGTCCCATTGCCTTTAAACCCCTGACTCCCCTGGGGAAAGATGTCAAAGATAAAGGTTCCACATCTGGGCCCAGGGGAGCGGAGAGGTGGGGGGTGGGTGTCCCCTAACTGGACCGGGAATGATGGTGAGAGTCAGTGAACAGTCAGGCCAGGGCCACTCCTGCCTGATGTTCCCACACCTCTGGCAGCTCAACCTGTCATTGTTCAGTAGCAGCTGGGACAGTGTGGGACCCTCCCTCCCCAGCCAGGCATTCGGCCCCAACGCCCCGCACTGGGAGCGGTCTGCTCCACTTCACAGATGAGCAGCTGAGGCAGAGCACAATCAGGGGAGCTGGCCCAAGGCCACACCGCCAGCAGCTGGGGACCCAGGATTCTCCCTCGGGTCTGCAGGACTTCAAAGCACACATGGTCTTCGGGAGGGCAGTGGCCATACCAGCAGCCCGCACGCCTGCCCTTTGCTCATTAGCTGCCCTAAGGTCAACATGCAGTCTTACCTCGGCTACTGTCCCATGGGACAACCTCTTCCTTCTAACGCGGGGCTGTCTGACCCTCCTAGAGCCCTCAGCTGCTAGGTAGTGCTGTTGTCCCCCGGTGCTGTCCGACTTAGCATTTCTTCCCAGTGACCTGTGTCGACACTGACTATTCTAGATTGCAGAGCACACGTCCGAGGGAGGGCCCAGGAAGCCGTGCTCCACGGAGACAGCAGGCGAGCGCTCCGCGCTGCTGGCGGCCATCCGAGGGCACCGCGGTGCCTGCAGCCTGCGGCAGGTGAGAGGAGGGCATCCCGTGGGGGGATGGCTCCACACCCGGTCCCCACACAGGTCTGCAGAAGCCGGGCCAGCGCTCCCGTGTCCTAAGCGTCGGCTGCGCCACCCTCAGCGTGGGTAACGCAGGACGACGGGGGCTGGCGCGGAGGGGCAGGCCCTGCAGGGGAGGGGCCAGGCCCGCGGGAGCTGTCCCCTCCCTCCCTACATGTCCACCTGGCATGGAGCATTTCCCGAGCTCTCGGGCACCCAGTGTGGCCGCAGGGCTGTCTCTCCTTGAGGGCAAAGTCGCTGGTCTTCTGGCTGATGTGGCAGAGCCCCGGGAGCCCAGGTGGCCCCGACCTTAGGAGCAGGACAGTGTCGTCCAACTTCCAGCTGCAGAATCCAAGGAAGAGCATGGTGGGAGTTTTACTCCCCGACACCTGGTCGGAGTGGACAGGGCGGCCTCCGGATCTGTCCTCCCCCACCAAGGCAAGGCAGGAGGTCAGGGAGTTCTCAGGAAGGCACAGGCAGTGAGCTCTCACCCCTCCCGGGCTTGCTGTGGGCTCCGTGAGGCCGTGGGCATGCGGCCCTTCCAGAAGGCCAACTGGGACCTCATCACCGCACATCTCATCGCTAGGTGTCATCCTTTGCCTCTGAGGAGCTGCGGAGCTTCCGGGATGCAGAACCGTCCTCCGAGCCACCTGGACGGCGTGACCTTGGCCTTCAGCCCCCGCCCTCCCTGCCGCCCCCGCCCCCGCCCCCATCGGCCACACAGGTTCCCTCCGTGTCCAGGACGGCAGCCAGCTCCAGCTCCAGAGACCCCGCTGAAGCCAGGCAGGCCCTGATGGACGCCATCCGCTCCGGCATGGGGGCCGCAAGATTGAGAAAGGTGACAGTGAGTGACCATGTGAGCGCTCGTGGGGGGCGGGGGTGTGGGGGAGGCCACCCGGGAGCCACATGGCCGTGAGATGATCACCCGTGTCTCTCACCCTGGGGACCAGAGGGAGTTGGCCCTCACCAGGTTGGGGTCGGCCCACAGACTAGCTCCTGGAGACGCAGGGGAGCCCCCACCACATGTGGAACCCCTAACTGCATCTCACCACCCACTCTGACTACGGTCTGTCGGGGATGTAGGCAGTGGCCCATGGAGAGCGCGTGTCACCCTTGTGGTCCGCAGCCTGGACTGAGGCTCTCAGCATATTTCCCGTGTTTTCTTTCTCTCTTTTTTTCTGGTTGTTGGGGAGAGCTAGCATTGTGTTCCAAATGCTTGAGTTTAAAGCCCCCTGGGCAGAGCCTATGCTTCCTGTTCTCTGTAGGGTCTTACACTGGCCCCCACATTTGTCACCCCACGCTCCCCAAAGCAGTGGTGTTTGTGCCACCACAGTGGGAATCCCAGACTCAAGGACTCCCCAGCTGCGTGGCTTCTGGGATCACTTTCAGCTCCAAAATGATTCTGGACACGGACTGATTCTCTGTCTCTGCCCATTGCTGGTGGGTTTGGGGAGTTCTGCTAATGATGGGGAGGCTGGCGAGAGATATTATTTCATGCGAGACCATCTCCAGATTGTAAGTTCCTGTTTTCACGGGAACCTCAAGAGGTCAGGACTAAGATGACCCTTGGTGCATATGGAAAGTGCATGAGGTTCAGAAAACCTGAGTGGCTCAGCCTTGGTCCCATAGGACCAGATGCAGACAGGGCTCCATGAGGACACGGAAAGTACTGGGAAGCAGGTGTCCACTGTGGGAGAGGAAGTTGCCCTCGGGACAGGGCAGAGCTGCTGGCAGATCACTCCTGCTCCTCTCTGCAACCCCCCACCCCCGCATTGCGGGAGCCTGTGACAGCAGAGGAGAGGGGAGAAGACCCCCTCCCCGAAGGCAGCAAGCCCACGATGGGCAGTCCTCGCTCAAGCCCAGAGATGGTCAGTGGTCTTACCCAGTGCACGCATGGCCTGACCCCCCCACCACCTGGCCGCTCCCCGCATCGTTCCTGCTCATGCACCACCCCCAGGTGTCGCCCCTGTGTGACATGAGGCGTTCCCAGCTGTGTGTGCATGTGGCCCGTGGGAGGGACCCGTACATCGGCTGTCAGGCCTGCTGGCCCAGCTGATCCTGGGGTACGAGTTTGAGGTTCTCGGAGTGGAATCCATCTGACATTTCGGATCTGGGGGTGGGCGGTGGGCCTCCAAGCTACAGGTTCCTAGTGTTTGCCCAGTGACTTCACTTTCAGAGCGGAGCTACTCAGCTACGTCAGCTGCACCTGTGCTGGACTTCGGGTAACGCTGAACGCTTGTTTGACCACGGACTGGACACCAGCTCGTGGACGGATTTATGGATCTTTCCAGAATAGCTGTCACCCTGTCCAGGGAGGCGGGCCCAGAGAGCTGGAAAGCTGGCCTGAAGGGGCACAGATAGGCTGTGGGAGACCACAGCAAGTCTAACCCTCAGGCTCGGACTTCCAGAGGGAAAGAAAAATCCAAGTTTAGGAGTTGCATGGAGGAGCAGGAAGTCGTTTGTGCCCTGAGAAAGGAGGCCGGGAGCGATGCTGGGGACTGGGGTGGGGGGGTGGCTCAGACAGGGCAGAGGGCACTGGGGGGCGCAGCTGGGACCGCATGCGTCTGGACCGAAGCTTGGGAGCGGGGCTGCTGCCAGAGAGGTCCTGAGCCACTGGGTTCCGGCTATGGCTGAGGCCAGGCTCTTCTCTCTCACCATTGCTGCTTGCTTTCTGCGGCTTCAAACCGCATTCAGAAGCCTTCCAGTGGGTTGTTTCTTGGATGAGCAGAGGTGCTGTGACCTGCCTTATCCATCCCGGGAAGGTCTACACAGTCGTATTTATACGGCACACCTGAGACTTTGATGGCCTGAACAGTTTACAAGATGCCCTTGGGCAAAAGTGACCAGGAGGAGTGTGACACGGGGGACCATGTCCCTTTGCTCTCTGTCTCTCTGTCTCTTTGTCCGCTCTGCCCAGCTGTGCTGCCATGTGCATGGATGACCTCAGAGCTGAATGTACAGGACTGGGTCACTGCTCTATCTGGTGACCCTGGGACCCCTCCACGCCCCTGCACTCTGCATCTCAGAATCACTCATGTAAGACCCGCTGACAGAGATGGGACCCTGGAGGGCAGGCCCTGGGTGGTCCACGTGTCCACCTATGTATTCTTCTCACAAGTCTGGTTAAATGGCACTTCTCTGCCGGCCGTGGACCTTACGGATCTCCGCTGGCTTTGCCACACATGCTCTCTGGGCTGTGTGTTACAGCAGGTGAATCTCAAATCATTTACACTTTGCTTACTATTTCTTCTGCTTCCTTTTCACTTTTGGGCTGCTAGAGTCGTAGAACCTTAAAAAAAAAAAAAAGGTGATAAATGCAGGGCTCTGGGGTCCACACAGGGAGGGCTGAGCTCTCCGTGGGCACTCAGTGTGTGCAGATCCTCCTTCACCAGCCTCTGGGTGTTGGGTGAGGGTTCCGAGTCAGGTGTGGCCAGGAGGACTTCGTGGACGTGAGGGATGTTACTGGCCTTCCCAGGGCTGGTGTGCGGGCTCCAGGCATGAGTTTACTGGCTGCCCTCCTCCAGATGTCAATCCAACCTCCTCTTCCTCCTAACTGGGGTGCCCAGGCATTCTGGGCGGACTCTCAAAGAGGCAGGATGGCCGGGGCTAAAACTCAGATGATCAGTGCCCCCACCTGTAAGACAAGGTTTGCATTGGCAGGAGATGCTACTTAGAGTAAAAGACAGAACGGTCAGTTGGACACATACAGAATAATCGCCTGAAAAATGATTGGCATTGGGGCACATACCTGGCTCAGTCTGTTAAGCATCTGACTCTTAATCTCCGCTCAGGTCTTGATCGCAGGGTCCTGAGTTCAAGCCCCTTGTTGGTCTCCATGCCAGGCTTGGAGCCTACTTAAAAAAAAAAAATTACTGTCATTTTTCAAGGCAATTAAAAGTACATTGCCTTCCTGGTGTGAATGAAATAATTTTTCTGCCTCTGTATTTGTGGCAATCAGAGAAATTTCCACCTCCAGGTCATAGCGTTTGCAGTCCCACTCCATCTGTGGGTCCTTCTCCAGGGACACACCTGCTGTGCCTGAGGGCAGGGCTCAGATGGGCAGCCCAGCACCCACTTCCTTCCCAGACTCCATCCGACACTCACAGGAACGGGGGGACCTGTCTGCATCGGACAGCCCTCAGTGGTCTGTTCTCAATGCGTTCTTTCGGGAGCCTGGAATGAACTCCAAGCCCCTTCTGCATCTGTGTTTAGATTTAAAACATTCACACTCTGCAAGCATTTCCTAAGAAACCCCCAGGGTCCAGGGCCTGTGGTCCTGCTCATGACAGAAAGGTGAACAAGGCCGTGTCTGTGCCTTCATGGGCTCTCGGCCGGAAGGAGAGGGTGTGAAGTCGGTTGTTGACCGTGGGACCTTCTCGCCAAGCCAGGGATGGGATGAACACCCCAGAGCCGCTGCCTGGTGTGTCCTGGCTCTCCTCCAGGCCCGTGCTCTGTCACCTTCCTGGGCATGAAGGCTGTGGCTTCCATCCCTCAGACAGGCAAGCGGGGCACAGATGCCGTGACTCACCCCGGGCCCTAACTAGGTGGGCACAGATGCTGAACCCACCTCCACGTGGGCGCACTCTCCCAGTGCGGGAAAGGAGCGATGCCGACTACACGCGTGTCGGTGCTTGGCCTCAACCGTAGACCCCCACGAGACCTGATCAGACAGGTGATGCCATCACCATAAAGGCCTGGGAGACCCCACGCCAGGACAGAAACCAAGAGCAGCAGCACACCTCTTTCCTCCAAGCCAGAAGGTGTCTTCCCTGGAGGGTCAGAGAAGCCACGTTCCTGTGGCCGGAAACAGTGACTTGTGTCCGAACAGGAAACCCAGCAGAGCCAGAATTCCCTCCCATGCCAGCTTTGGGCAGCTTGTTCTGTGAACCTGGAGTAGGTTTTGGTTAGAGTGGACTAGTTCAGAGATACAGGAGGGTCCGTTCCGGCTCTGCTGCCTCTTGCCGTGTGAGCCTTCTGCCCCGTCCAGATCTACCAGGTGACCTGTTCTTCCTGCAGGGGGGCATGTGGAACCTGTCCTGAGAAGCCACCAATTCAGTGGCTTCCCCGCCCAGGGCCCTCACAAACACCACCCCCTGCTCCTGGCACACTGTCCCCCATGTTTTACCAGCCACCCCGCACTCATCCCACATGCGTGTGCATGAAGGAGAAGCCCTCAGAAAGACCCCCTCAGTTCCCAGGCTGGACTAGCTCCCTCCCTCACAGCATCCCGCCAGGTCCCTTAGGATCAAAGTACAACTCTAACTTCTAGAATAACCAGTGCCACATGCTTGGTGCTTGCCCCTCCTATCAGACTGGACCCCAGCCCTGGCACACAGTGGGCACTCGGTACCAGTTACTCAGAGAGGGACAGAGAGAACAAACTCACCCTTTGCCTGCCATGTTTGCTGGCTCCCACCTAGGAACCCAGCACGTCCCACATCCATATGCCCATCACTCGTCTACTCCATCATCACTAGAACATCTCGCCAAGAATCTACCTCAAGCTGGAAAAAACACCATCTTTTCCTTTGGAAATTTAGAGGAGTTCTTTTTATCCCATGTCTTCCCTCACTGGTCCCGTTCCCAGTCCGCAAAGTTGCCCAACAGCTCATCAGCACCCCAGAGCTCATCTGTGCCCTCTGGGAGACGGGAGCTTACGAGCGAGTTCTATGGCTCTGATGATTCTCTTCCTCCCCCTGGATGCCATTTCCCTGTTCCCACTGTCCCTTTTACCTCTTTCCATAGAAACATCATTCTCCTCAGCAGGCGAGGAAACAACATGAAACTTGGATATTTTTACAGCTTTCTGGATTGGCCTCAAACTCTAAGCTGTGTCCC